AAAAAAAAAATTAAAAAAAAAAATTTCGAACTTCGAAAAAGCATTGATTTTTGTCAAAAAACTGAAAAATTCCATATGTATTGACTTACAAAAATTTTTTAATATTTTTTATCGGAAAGTACATCTAAAAACAAAAATTTTGAAAAAAAAAGGTACCTAAATGTTTAGTTTTGAAAAAGTTATGGCTATTTGAAAATAAAAAAGCCATTTTTTTGAAAAATTCATAACTTTTTTGGAGTTAGGTAAAAAAATTCAAAAAAATTCTGAGAACCGTTTTTTATAGGGTAGAAAAGGATGGAAAACTTTCGGCCAAATCGAAAAGGGTCGGGGTCAAAAGTGGTCGATTTGGCATGGAATACCCCATATGTATGTATGTATGCGTGTGTGTTTATGATTACATTTAATATCCTAATAATATTTTTATTGTCACTTTTTTAAGATTTAATCGTTTTTTGTAAATTGTTTCACGGTAATTAAGTTTTTATCGACATAAAATTTTTTCAAGTGTAGTTGTAATTTTTTTGTCGGTTTTGAAAAATTAAAATATCATCTTCTTAGTTTAAGGGGGGGAAATAGTATAAATATGTGAAACTATCAGGTTATTTTAAACATATATTTATGAGTATTTTTTCGTATTAAACAACAATGTAACATAACAAATAGCGGAGATATCAGCTGATACACATCGTAGGTTGTCATCCGACTTAGCAGTTGGTGTGCAGTATGGAAGCCACAATTTTTATCTGAAATCACTCGACACAGAAAAATTACTTTTTTAGTAGATTTGATAAAAATCTAACTATTGCAATGGTCCTCATCACGAAACTTTTGAAAAATTTTGCTATATTCCGACTTAACTCGACGAGTTGAGTCAGAAAATACATATGGTTCAAAAGTTTATATATGTATGTATATACGATATAACGCGGCTTGTCACCACGATAGCGTCGCCAATTTACAATGGATCTTTACCAAACTCAACATACTTATTCTACAGATAGATACCGAGGTCAAGTTTGAAGATTAGCTTAATCGGTCAAGTACTTTAGAAATGCCATGATTTCAAAATCATGAAAAATCATAAAAATTTCCATTTCTTCATTTTCGTACTTAAATAGCTTTTGGGTGGGATAATTTATCGAATTTCTGTAAATTGCATATGAAAGCTCTTTAAATAAGCTTCAATTTGAGTACCATATCATATGTGTAGTCCCAAAATTATGTCCTATTCCGCTACGCCAATTATGAAATTTGCTATTGCAGTCGTTTTTTTTGTTTTTTTCTTTACTTAGCTTTTAATCGCTGGTTTACTAAAAATCCATTATTTTTTTCTATTTATGATAAAATCTACTTCCATTTCGACTGCCGAATGGTCTTTTTTTTATGTGTATCTTCTATATGAACCTCAATTGCAAAAAAAAAGTAAAAATTCGCATTTTTTAGAGGGCTGTGAAATTAAGTCGTGATTTTTTACCATTTTTTCATACTTTGTATAAAGAAAAGTGATTTTTCTGTGCCATTGATTTCAGATAAAAATTGTGGCTTCTATAGTGCACACCAACTGCTAAGTCGGAAGACAACCTACGGTGTGTATCAGCTGATATCTCCGCTACTTTTTAAGTTATATTGTCGTAAAATATTAAAAAATGTAAATATATGTATAAAATAACCTGATAGTTTCAATAAGTAACATTAATTTTGATACCTTAAAAAAATTAATAAAAAATCAGCATGAAAACGTTTTTCTATACGTACACTAAAAAAAAAAGTTTATTTCCACCTAGGAAATTTTTCCCTCCAGTAAAGAAACTGGTATACCTGTGTGGAGAATACTAAAGTTTTTTTCCTACACTAATAAGGATGATGATTTTTAAAAAACTCGGTTTCCTTATCAGCAAAATACCAAAATTAAAATATGGCCGACTTGACCTCATATTTGACACAGATGCATACGATATGTTTATGATACAGTGGATGGATCTTTTTTATTATAATTAATAAATTAATAATTATTAACTTATCAATTATAATTAAATTTAAGAAAATTAAATAAGTTAAATTATAATAATTAAATTTAAGAATGACACTGAAGTTGACAGGCATTAAAAATTTTTTTAGAATTTTATAGCAATTAAATTATTATAAAAAAAAATTTTATTAAAAAATTCCACATGTGAAAATTAATAAAAATAAATAATAAATTAGTATATACAACTTTCCAATGATCTAAACAAACACGACAGGACTGTGAAATTGGAGGGAAATCAGAGAATTGGCGGCGTCACCACTGCGGTTGCTATGGTAACGCAGTATAAAGTTTTAGCTCCAGAAAAAAATTAGGTATTCTCAGGAGAAAAATACCAGTTTTTTATATTAAGAAAACGTATATTGGATATAAAAAAACTTGGATAAAAATACTTTGTATTCTGGGTGGAAAAAAACTTTTTTTTCAGTGTATTTTCCCCCTTAATTTAATTTAATTGCACGCCTTATAAGCGAAGCGTTGAGGTAGTGCTCTACTCTCGAAATGTCAAAAAAAGCAGTTTTTACGAAACTGAAATCAAGTCAAATAATCTGTCGGGTACATAAAACATATTTCAATAATAATTATTTTGTTTAACATAGTAAGTAATAACATTAAAAATAATCTTTTCTGGACGCCCGTGTCTCTGTGTTTATGAATCTGTGTATGTTGCAAAAAAATTGGTCGAAAAAATTATTATACCGGAATAATTTTTTTTTTTTATCATCCAAAGTAACACACTACGGACTTTCTCAATTAATTTAAGCGTTCAATTCACTGTCGTTAAATTATTATTTATAAAAAACTAATATATGACTGTGGATTTTTTTGTATATCTATCTATACATTTTATTATAGTATTTTTTTTCTTCAACTTAGAATTATGGCACCACTAAACCATAGCAGGGTTTTCTGTTTTTTATTGATTTATTTTTTGTATTTTATTTTAAATAATTTTATTGTAGAAAATAAGATTATGAGGCGTGCACTTTTAGATTTTCTAAACGATTTTTAAAAATTGTTTATCATACATACAGCTATCATTAAAATTAACTAAGAAAAAATTGAATTAAAAATATTAGCTTATTTTTCTATTGAAATTAACTTTAAAAAAATGTATGAAATTTTTTCCATTTCTTAAAACTTTTCATTGATTCCTCAAATGTTTATTTAAAAATCAAAGAATTTTTAGACTGTTATTTTTATTTATCATAAAAAATGATTTGTTATTGAACAATTTTTTTCAACTCTAGGATAACGTACAAAAATAAACATTCTTATTTAACTTTACTCTATTTTTCGTTTACTTTAAAATAAAAAAATATTTGGATAGCACTGACATCCGCATCATTGTATATTTTACAACGAAAATATTACTTTTTTTTATTTACTAGTCACCGGCTTCGGTGATAACTCAATATTTGATTTAATTAAAAACAAATCGTTTATTCGCAGTAACTTTTTTAATCTTTAATAAGAAAAACTTTTTTATTGCTCAGAATATTTATAAGATAAAAACAATAAAGCGTTTTGAAATTTAAAAAGGTCTATAAAAGTTTTTTTTATGTAATAGATTATTGAAGAAAAAAATTTGTTAAAGTTTTATAACTAAAAACAATAAAAACTGCACTTTAGAATAATTATAGTTGTAAAGTTTAAATCTTATCTTCTAATGAAACATGCATTTGATACAAACAAGCTCTTTTGTAAATTAATTATGACAAAACTTTTAATGGGATAATAAGTTTAAAAAAAAGAAAACATACGTTAGTTAATAAAGCTCTAAATAATGTTGTTGTGGAAGATATTTTAAAATTAAAGTGCAATTAACTATTCCTCTCTCATTTATACTTACTAAAAAAAAGGAATATTTTACAAAATTGTTTAAGTATAAGCTACTAAAGTGTAAAATAAAAAACACACATACGCTTCAGATGATTAAGCAAATGTAATTTATTATTCAGAAGCTAAATATTTAAGCTTTTGAACACACGTGTAATTATAATTGATGTTTATTCTCAATCAATAATTAAAAAGCGACAATATTTATTTTTGTAACACTCCTAATTTATTTGGTAATTATTTACAAGTGGGGTCCACCTTATTTTTGGCTATATCTAGGTGAAAAATTAATATTTTTTAATTTTTTTTTTGATAATGAAATTTTTTTAAAATAATATAAAGATTTCGATAGCTTTTCTGCCTTCAAAAGTTTGAAAAAAAATTTTGGATCTCATGTTTTTGGATAAAACTTCTATTTTTTTTTTTTTGATATTTTTTTGAAAAGTACATAAGAAAATGAACAATTTAAGGGGTTACATGGGTTTCCTCCGGGAAAAATGGCCTATTTTCAACAATTTTTTTTTAATAGAAAAAATGAAAAATTTTATTCAAACTTTTTACTGTCTTAAAGATATACGTTTAATAAAGGATTACTGAAATTAAAAAAAAATATTAAAAACGTACGCGTGATCAGCAGAACTCCCAGCAGGATTATTTGAAGTGAAAAAAAAAAAAATATGTGCTTTAGTTAAGACTTTAAACTAGGTCTTGAACGGAGGAAAAAGAAACAAAATGAAAATTGGATTTTTGAAAGAGGTTTTTCACAAAAAAATTAAAAATTTGGTTAAAATTTCGCGGCATTTTTTTTTTTAAATAGTTGTAGTTGAAGAAAAAAATTTTTCGTTCAAGACTTTATATCTTGAAGACCTGTCTAAAATTTTATCAAGATCGGTTGAGTAGTTCTCGAGAAATCGTGGGTACCGTCTTTGAAAACATAGTTTTGAGAAAAACGCGTTTAAAGTTTTGAGTGACAATACAACAGCGCCTTAAGCGCGCAACTTCTTAAAACTGTATCTCCGAAACTATTATTCGGATCGAATAAAAACTTTAAGGCAATATTCTAGAGATGTTGTAGAATTTAATAAAACATTTAAAAAAAATCGATTTTTTGAAACCGTGAAATCCATGTAATCTCTTAAAAAAAAAAAAACAAATAGTTAAATATCACAATTTTCTAAAAAATTTATAAACTTTTTTGAAAATTTGTTAAAATTGTGGTAATTAACTTTTTTTTTTTTTAATTGTACATTTTTTAATGTATTTTTCAAAAAAAAAAATATCAATAAAATTAAATAGAAATTTGTTCCCAAAAAAATGAAAATTAAAATAGTGGACCCCTTGTAAATAATTATGAAAATGAAGTTAGCTGACATTTCAAAATTTTTAGTAATTTTATATTGAAAAAATTTCAATTAAAAAATTTAAAATAAAATTTCACATGTAAAAAACTTGAAAAACTACAAGTGCAATTTTTTAGAAATATTTTTTGTTGTAATTTAATTAAAAAAAAAAAATCAAAAATTTTTAGACGTCTGCTAACTTCAGTGTCATAAATAATTACCATTTATTTATAAATAAAAATAAAAATATTGCATTATTATGCAAAATAATAAATTCATAAAAAATTAAATAAGGTTTTATTTTTAGCCATACATCGAGGAAATTTTCAATCACTTAAGAGGGGAGCCATTCAAAAAGTTCCTGGAGAGGTAATTATAAAAACAATATTTATTTATAAAAAAAAAAAAATTAAACAAATAGTCTTTTGAATAATCGGCATGAACATTCGAAGAAACGAACTAGTTGTTTAATAAAAAAAAAAAATAAATAAAAAAAAAACAAGGGATCACTTGAGTAGCATTAAAACTTGTGGTAATAATATTTTTCAGTGAAAAGTACACGCGTTTTTGCCAATGGAAAAATCTCGAGCTAAATATTCAGGTAAGCGAGAGACGTTTCTGTGTTTCCATTCACGTCCCTCGAGGGAATGTTCAATAATCGATAGAGCTCGTCAACGATTTGCCATTGTTTCTCCAGTTGACAATGAACGACTTCAGCGTGCATCGCATAATAGGAAGGGGCGGCTTTGGCGAGGTTTACGGATGCCGCAAGGCCGATACAGGAAAAATGTATGCGATGAAGTGTCTCGATAAAAAACGTATCAAGATGAAGCAGGGTGAGACACTTGCACTCAACGAGAGGCTAATGTTATCTCTAGTCAGCACCGGGGTATTTATTTACTTTATTTATCTTCTTCATTATTCTTAACTACCGGCAACATCAACATCAACTCACACAACTTAAACTTAAGCTTAAGCTAATGTAGAATTATTTATTTATTATTTATTTATTAGCATAAGTGTAGTTATTAATTAATTTATAAGATCAAAATTTACAATATAAATAATAATAATATGTTTTGTTTTTCTTCCTCCAATTATTTTTGGATTGATAAACAGCAAAAATTCCAGGTGGATTGTCCATTTATTGTCTGCATGACATACGCCTTCCACACACCCGACAAATTGTGTTTCATCTTAGACCTGATGAATGGCGGTGATTTGCACTATCACTTGAACCAACACGGTGTTTTCAATGAACTTGAGATGAAATTCTACGCCGCGGAAGTAATTCTTGGTCTTGAACACATGCATCGACGATTTATTGTCTATCGGGATCTTAAGCCAGCAAATATTTTGCTCGATGAACACGGACATGTTAGGATATCCGATCTCGGGCTTGCATGTGACTTTTCAACAAAGAAACCTTACGCGAGCGTGTAAGTGATTTTTTATTTATTCATTCTACATCTAACATTAATATTATTGATGTTATATAAATTTAACAAAACGCTATTTTTAAACCGCAATTCGATATAGTTATCATATTATTAAAAGACAGTTTGTTCTTCTACTATTCTTCTAAAAATAAATAAATATTATTTTTCAAGCTATTTTAACTGTCGTCAAAATATTATGTTTATTTATAAGCTTTGAAAGAACGCTTGTGGTTATTGTAATGAAAAAATTATCCCTCGGGAATTCTAGGTCAAAATATAGAGGGATAAATTAGTTAATTGCATTCTGTGAGTATTACTCACCCCTGAATTCTATGAATTTTAGATTACAGATTTGAAATTATCTTTTTTTTTTTTTTTAAGAGATAATTTGACAAAGAGATTAAGGGCGTTCTTTGATATTAAATTATAATATCTTTTTTAATATTCAATTATTGGAAATGTATTAAAATATTCGCATAATATAAATAAATTAATGTATTAGTGGCAAAATGGTTAACATTTTATGAAGATTTTTTTTTAGGTCAATTTTTTTTAGAAATCTAATTATTGTGCGGTCTTATGTCTCAATTTAAAGAAAATTTTGTTATAATACCTTGATAAAAAGGTTAGCTTGACTCAAGACAAAAATTCTTGAACCAAGACTATCACGGAAAAAAGTAAACTGTAATAAGTAACAGTCGATTTATAATAAGTAATGATCAACTGCTAAAAATTACCATTTCAAACAGTAAAATTGTGATTTTACTATTCACATTGTAATATTTACAATTTAAACGTTACAATTTACTTTTTACATGGAAGAAAATACTATTTCAAACAGTAGTATTCGCTATGTAAATGTCTAAAATGTTAAAGTATAATAATTAACAATTCAGACTTTAATATTTATCATTTCGTATCTAAAAAATGATGTTATGATATGTAAAAAGTATAAAATAAAGTTAGTAAATTTCTAATACAAGCAACGTCAATATTTACAAAGTAAAATGGTAAATTTTAAACGCAACGCTAAAAATCAAACTGTAATTATTAAGCGTGTTCAGCCGAACTAAGTCCTGAGTAAACTTAGTAAGATATGTATAGTATAGTAGATAGATATATGTATAGCAGGGAATGCTTTGACTATACTTAGGCTAACTAAGTTTACTCAGGACTTAGTTCGGCTGAACACGCTCATTGACTTGCTTGGACTGGTAAAATTTATATTTTAAAAGTATAATTTTTACTGTTTCAAATGTTAAATTCTCCCAAAGTGAGACCCCCTTCTCTTTCGTCTGAGTTCCTCTTCTCCTCATAATATGGACTATATATTGAAATGGCAATTTTTACTGTTTGAAACTGTAATTTTTAAAGATAAAAGAGTCGTTATTTACTATAGTGACAACTACTAATCACTTATTTTGGATATTAAATTATAAATTGTGGCTTTTATACTTTCTACATTAAGTTCTGTAATATTTACATTTTTGCCATCCCGATGTCCGCTTTACTGTTTGAAACTATAAAAACTAACCGGAATCCGAGTGAATATTACAGTTTACTTTTTTCCGTGTACTACAAGGAATTTGTTGCTTTTCCTTATTATGAAATAGTTTCTATTGAATCAATATCAAAATCAAGTTCAAAGATCAGCAAAAGCGGCCGGTTAGTTTACGAGTTGTGGGTGTTGAAAATTTTTTTTCATTTTTAAAAAATTTTTTATTTCATCAAATTTATGAAAATCATTTTCCAGCTGTAAAAGATAGATGAAATCTATTAAATTTAACGTAATTATCTTCAATTTGAGCTATTGTTTTTCTAATTTTGATGATTTTTTTAATTCGATAATTTGAAAATTTGAAAAAATTTTTCAATTAATAAATTTCGGGACTTTTCTTTAAAAAAATTTTCAACCGTATAAGATAGATTACATTGGTCAACACCAAATTTGACTTTGACTGCACAGCATAAAATTTCGATATTTTAGATCGTAATTAGATGAAAAAAAAATATATGGCATGAAAAAGTTTGCTTTTGTGTTAATGAGACTGATTGAACGATATTTTTCAAAATTTCTAATTTTAATTTCTTATTGAAAATAAAACTATTGAAATAAATATGTTTATTAAGTTTTACTATTAAATTAACTTACAGAAAAGTGGAAAATAATTTAAAAGTGCACACTTTTACTTTTTCTTTTATGTTCATAACTACTTTCTCTCACTAAACCCCAAAAATAGTCGCCCATCATGTTTTCATTGTATTGGTCTTGATAATAATTATTGTTCAAATAGTGATGAAAAAAAAAAAAAACAACGGTTTGTTCACAATTAAGCTCTAGCTGTTCCAATTTTAAAAAATGAGTATAGGGTAAATACCCCAATAGATGGACAGTTAAGCAAACTCTCGTATTCTATTAAAAAACAATATAGGAATATACAGATAAGTTGTGATAAAGTAAATTATATTTATGTAAAAATATATAATTAACCAGGAAAAAATAAGTAAATCTTCGTAAAACGTTGTAGTTATTAATGAAAAAGAAAAATGTAAAAAAAAGTCCAAAACCCCAGTAGATGGACAAAATCTCCAGTAGATGGACAGTCAATACCAATAGATGGACACTACTTACAAGCGATATTTTCGATTCATTATTTATATCAGATATAATTAATTTATTAATTTTTTCCACTAAAAAATAAAGCTTGATAAAATTAAAGAGAAAGGGTGATAAATCGGATGGTAATTTTCAAAATACATCATAAAGTAATTTTATTAATTTTGAACACGTGATGCTTTCTCATGTAAAGTAACATACAAAATATATTAACATAAAGAATATTAATGATTAATAAATTATCAATATAAATTTATAAAACACAACGTTAAAAACGTTATGTTGTCTTCTTCTTCCTTTTAATAGGTCTGTTCTCTTTTGCTTTTAAATTTCCTTCTCTCAATTTTCTCTTTTATTCAGCGTTTTCTTTTTTTTTTTTAAATTTCTTCAATAATCATAATAATACTTTCATTTCCAGTACATGTCTGTTTGCTATAATCTTTACTCTTATTCTCACATTGATCCACCAACAACATTAAAAAAAAAAAAAAAAAACCAAAAAAAAATAAAAGAAAATTCAATCATATAAACTCAATGT